CATGGCGAAAACCCATCTCTACTAAAAATACAAAAATTAGCTGGGCATGGTGGTGAGCACCTGTAATCCCAGCTACTCAGGAGGCTGAGGCAGGAGAACCGCTTGAACCCAGGAGGCAGAGGTTGCAGTAAGCTGAGATTGCACCATTGCACTCCAGCCTGGGTAACAAGAGTGAAACTCCCTCTCAAAAAAAAAAAAACTAAATGCATTATTGTTCTTCTTTTTAGTATTAGATTTTTTCCCCAAAAGTGTTGAGATTACAGGCATGAGCCACTGTGCCTGACCCAGTTTCATTCTCTTGAAGGCTCTGGGCTGTAAATGTCACACATCACTTCTGTTTAGGTTCTGCTGGTAATAATTTAAACATATGCCTGTGCCTAACCCAGAAGGGGCTGGGAAATGTAATGTTGCCGAACAGCCATGTACAGGTTTTTTTCTTTCTTTTAAGAGGTGTAGTGTCACTCTGTCACTCATTCTGGAGTGCAGCGGTGTGATCACAGCTTACTGCAGCCTCAAACTCCTAGACTCAAGTGATTGATCCTCCTGTCCCCAACGTTCCAGGTACTAGGACTACAGGTGCGCACCACCACGCCTGGCTGATTTTTAAATGTTCTGTAGAGATGGGGTCTCACTTGGTTGCTCAGGCTGGTCTTAAACTCCTGACTTCAAGGTGTCCTCCTGCCTCGGCCTCCCAAAGTGCTGAGATTACAGACATGAGTCACCATCCCCTGCCCATGCACATGTTTAGTTCTTTTACCAAGATAAAAAGCCAGAATGGATTTGATAGATAGGTATCCGTTCCTGCCAAGGTGTCTGTCACTTATGTTAGACACTTTCTTAAAATGTCTACTGTTCTTTGAATGTTTTTTTATACTTGAAAGGAAGCCGTGAAAAGCTGTTTGTTAGATGCGTGTGAATGGATGGGACTAGTTAACTGGTGGCTTCACTTGAGAGGAATTGGGAAGGAACCTCTTCATTTAAGGACTTTTGTAACTCCATATTTATAATTCTTCTCACTGAGTTTCTCCAATGAGAAATCTTCCAACCACTTGACTTGAGGCTACAGGCATTGGCTGTGAGATAATTTAGAATGTTTAGAATGTCTTTAGCGAATAGAGAGTTAATTTGTACATAGCTCTGTAGCCTTTTTCTATTTATCTAGAACTTATTTTTGTATATAATGTATGCTCTTTATTGCTCTTTTTTTCCTTTGGGTAGGGGAAAAGGATTGGGGATAAGGGGAGTGTCTCACCATTCAGCATATAGACTTTCACTTAATTCTCCTCTTATCAATCCAACAACTTATATTCTCTTTCCATTTTAATTTCTCAAAAAGTAAACTGCTCATCTTCTTCAGGAGTGGAGGAGGATACGCCGCTAGAGGTGCATGTGGGAGATGGGACACTGGAAATCTAACTGTTCCCTAAACCCATTTTCAATTAATCTTCCTGGTTTTTGTTCCTTATCCCTACTCATAACTTCAGTGGTACCCGATTCCTCTGTTCTTGAAGTCTTTTTGAAGTGTTTTTGCTTCTTGTCTTCCTCTTTTACAGATAGTTTTGGTATCTTCTCCTCTGCTAAGTCAGTTACTAATGTGTACACTTTGCATCTTCTACAGTTTTACTGCCATCTCTTGTCTATTATTGTTTCTTTTTCTTTTCGTCTTTGTGCTTTTGTACTTTTTACTCTTTTTATGGCCATTTGGTAGGTGTCACAAGGGAGCAGAGATTTAAGCATGGGTTCAGTTTGCCACAGTTTACGTCCTTGCTGCTTATCTTTTGTGTGTGTGTGTGTGTGTGTGTGTGTGTGTGTGTGTGTGTTTTGTTTTTTTGTTTTTGAGACAGTCTCTCAACACTGTTGCCCAGGGTGGAGTGCAGTCGCGCAATCACAGCTCACTGCAGCCTTGACCTCTGGGCTTAGGTGATCCTCCCACCTCAGTCTCTTAAGTATGATAGCTGGGGCGGGGCACAGTGGCTCACATCTGTAATCCCAGCACTTTGGGAGGCCGAGGGGGGGCGGGTCACGAGGGTCAGGAGTTTGAGACCAGCCTGGCCAACATGGTAAAACCCTGTCTCTACTAAAAATACGAAAAGTAACCGGACGTGGTGGTAGGTGCCTGTAATCCCAGCTACTCTGGAGGCTGAGGCAGGAGAATCGCTTGAAATCAGAAGGCGGAGGTTGCAGTGAGCAGAGATCATGCCGCTGTACTCCAGCCTGGGTGAAGAGGTGAAACTCTGTCTCAGAAAAAAAAGAAGTATGACAGCTGGGGTGACAGGCACATGCCACCATGCCTGGTTAATTTTTTTGTATTTTTGACAGAGGTGGAGTTTCGTCAGGTTGCCCAGGCTAGTCTCGAGCTCCTGGGCTCAAGTAGTCTATCTGCCTTGGTCTCCCAAAGTGCTGGAATTACAGGCATGAGCCACTGTGGCTGACCTTGCTGCTTATCTTTAGTAAGATAATTTAGAATGTTTAGAATGTCTTTAGTGAATAGAGATTTAGTTTGTATATAGCTCTGGAGCCTTTTCCTATTTATCTAGAACTTATTTTTGTATATAGTATACCCACTTTATTGCTCTCTTTTTTTTCCTTTGCATTATATGTGCTAGTACCATTTGACTGTCATTCATTCATTGATTCATTCAGGAAGGATCTATTCATTCTGCCCTCCTGGAGCATTCTAAGTTAAAAAGACTGTTGATCTACGTTATCTTCTATTCATATAGCCAATCATACTTTTGAAAAAAATTAATGTTACCAAGATAACATTAACCATCCTTTTTACTTTCAATCTACCTATGTGGTGTTTAAGGTGAATTTCTTATGAACAACATATAGTTGGTTTATGTTTTTATATCCACTGTGCCAATCTCTGTCTTAATTCATATACTTAGATTATTTACATTTAAAGTATTATTTTCTGTTCATTTTCTCTATTTCTCGTTCCTCTGTCTTGTCTTTTTCTTTCTTTCTTTTTTCTTTTTTAGACAGAGTCTCACTTTCTTGTCCAGGCTGGAGTGCAGTGGCACAATCTCAGCTCACTGCAAGCTCCGCCTCCCGGGTTCAAGCAGTTCTCCTGCCTCAGCCTCCCGAGTAGCTGGGACTATAGGCGCATGCCATCATGCCCAGCTAATTTTTGTATTTTTAGTAGATGGGGTTTCACCACGTTGGCCAGGCTGTTCTCGAACTCCTGACGTTGTGACCTGCCCCCCCACCCCCCACCACCACCACCCAGCCTCCCAAAGTGTTGGGATTACAGGCATGAGCAATCACTCCCGGCCTGCTCTGTCTTTTCTTTTTTTTTTTTTTTTGAGACAGAGTCTCACTCTGTTGCCCAGGCTAGAGTGCAGTGGTGTGATCACAGCTCACTACAGCCTTGACCTCCCAGGCTCAGGTGATCCTCCCACCTCAGCCTTTCAAGTAGCTGGGACTACAGGCATGTGCCATCACACCTGTCTACTTTTTTGTATTTTTTGTAGAGACAGGGTTTTACCATGTTTCCCAGTCTGGTCTTGAACTCCTGGGCTCAAGCAATCCCCCTGCTTCAGCCTCCCAAAGTACTGGGATTATAGGTGTGAGCCACGGTGCCTGATCTCTTAGCTTCTTATGAGCTGCCTGAACATTTTTCACAATTCCATCTTGTTTTATTTATATATTTTAAAATGTTTTTAAAGTGTTCTTGATGGTTGCCATTGTTTATGAAAATATTCATTAGCAACCGGGTGCAGTGGCTCACACCTGTGATCCCAGCACTTTGGGAGGCCGAGGCAGGTGGATGACCTGAGGTCAGGAGTTCAAGCCAGCCTGACCAACATGGTGAAACCCTGTCTCTACTAAAAATACAAAAATCAGCTGGGCATGGTGGCGGGCACCTGTAATCACAGCTACTGGGGAGGCTGAGGCAGGAGGATCACTTGAACCTGGGAGGTGGAGGTTGCAGGCAGCCGAGATTGTGCCACTATACTCCAGCCTGGGCAACAAGAGCGAAGCTCCATCTCAAACGAAAAAAATAATCGTTAGAAATAATTCCTATCCTATTTATTTTTATTTATTTATTTATTTGTTTGTTTGTTTGTTTGTTTTTTGAGACAGAGTGTTACTCTGTTGTTCAGGCTGGAATGTAGTGGCTCAATCTTGGCTCCCTACAACCTTTGCCTCTCAGGTTCAAACAATTCTCATACCTCAGCCTCCCAAGTAGTTGGGATTACAGGCACATGCCATCACGCCTGGCTAATATTTTTGGTGTTTTTAGTGGAGGCAGGGTTTCACCATGTTGGCCAAGCTTGTCTTGAACTCCTGACCTCGAGTGAGCCGCCTGCCTTGGCCTTCTGAAGTGCTGGGATTATAGGCGTGAGCCACCACGCCTGGTCTTGCCACCACATTTTTAACATTTACGGCATGCTAGGCATTATAAATGAACTTTATATATAGTTTGTGTCTATTTGATCTTTACAAAAATGCCAGCAAGGTACTGTTTTAGTTCTCAGTATTGTGCCTGAGGAATCTGCTGCTCAGAGAAGTTAATTAATTGGTCCAAAGTCACTGTTGTTAAATTGGTGGGCAAAGCTAGGTCTAACTCCAGGCCAGGCGCTGTGGCTCACGCCTGTAATCCCAGCATTTTGAGAGGCCGAGGCAGGCAGATAACTTGAGGTCAGGAGTTTGAGACCAACCTGGCCAACATGGTGAAACACTATCTCTACTAAAAATTAAAAAATTAGCTGGGCGTGGTGGTACATGCTTGTAGTCCCAGCTACTCGGGAGGCTGAGGCAGGAGAATCATATGAAACCCAGAAGGCAGAGGTTGCAGTGAGCTGAGATCACGCCACTCCACTTCATCCTGGGCAACAGAGCAAGACTACATCTCAAAAAAAAATACAATCTAGGTTCTAACTCCAAAGTTCATGCCTTAAACCGTGATATTATATTACCTCATTAATATTATTTTTATGATGTAGGTTTTATATTTAAAATTATAATGTAATGTATTTTGTCTCATTTCCTAGGTTTTGATGATGATGGTTCAGAATTTCATGAACATATATTTCTGGAGAAACACCTGGAGAGCTTTCCAAAACAAGGACCAATTCGCCACTTCATGGAGCTGGTGACTTGTGGCCTTTCCAAAAACCCGTATCTTAGTGTTAAACAGAAGGTTGAGCACATAGAGTGGTTTAGAAATTACTTTAATGAAAAAAAGGACATTCTTCAAGAAAGTAACATACAGTTCAATTAAGACCATGGAAATTTTTATTTCAAACAATTAGAGATGGATATTACAACTAAATAAAATAATTTTACTAGAGTTTGTATATGTTATGTTGATTATTACATTTGATTTGGCTGGTATAAATGTTACATTGTTTTAAAAAATATGTCGGTAACCGAAAAATATTCTTGCCTGGAGAAAAATCATCAGTATTCATAGGTTCAAAAGAATATCTGAGAATTAGCAATGCATTTAAGACAACTCCTCCTGACCTTTTTCTTTTCACTCAGTGACCGTACTTCTTTGAAATACAGTAGAATTACTGGATGATATCACAGTACTATGTTATAACAGTTGAGATGATTTATAGACAGATATGTATGTACATATTTTTATTTGTTTACATTTGTACATACTTATATTTTACACTAAATTAACTACCCTCACCTAAGTCTGGGTCACTATAGAGAAATTAATCTTGTAGAAATAAAGGGCTTATTCTAATCCATTCTAGTACTTTAGGTCTTCATGCCAAAGTTAGAATTATTTCTTTTCCAGTATGCTGCTGAGCAGTGTGACTCAACTTTCATACAATTCAAAGGATTGAGGGCCGGGCACAGTGGCTCATGCGTATAATCCCAGCACTTTGAGAGGCTGAGGCAGGAAGATCACTTAAACCCACGAGTTTGAGACCAGCCTGGGCAACATAGGGAGAGGAGACCCTGTCTTTACAAAAAATTTAAAAATTAGCCAGGCGTGGTAGCATGCACCTGTAGTCACAGCTGTTCAGGGGCCTGAGGTGGGAGGATCCCTTGAACCTAGGGGGTTAAGGCTTCAGTGAGCCTGAATGCACCACTGCAGTCTAGCCTGAGTGATAGAGCAAGACTCTGTCTCAAGAAAATGTTTTTTAAATTAAAAAAAAAAATTTTTTTTTTTTTGAGGCAGAGTCATACTCTGTTACCCAGGCTGGAGTGTAGCAGTGTGATCTCGGCTCACTGCAACCTTCACCTCCAGGGTTCAAGCAATTCTCCTGCCTCAGCCTCCCAAGTAGCTGGTATTACAGGTGCCCACCACCACGCCTAGCTAATTTTTTTGTATTTTCATTAGAGACAGGGTTTCACCATTTGGCCAGGCTGGTTTTGAACTCCTGACCTCAAGTGATCTGCCTGCCTCAGCCTCCCCAAGTGCTAGGATTACAGATGTGAGCCACGGTGCCTGGCCTAAATTTTTTTTAAGGTTTAAGGATTCTAAAAAACCTCAAAACAAGATTTAGTTGACAGCAGTCCCAAGCTAATAGTGTTCCAGGTCAACAGGAACCATGTGAAGGAATCCACCATAACCGCAGGCTTCAAATGACAAAGCACACAAGGAAGCAGAACCATGAATGTGTACCAACAGAAACGAGAACAGATTCAGACTCATAAAGCCTCTGAATATTGGGCTTATCAGAGTCAGAATATAAAATATGTGTAAGATAGAATGAATACTGAGCAGGATGCTTTGAAAGTGACCAAGCAGATTTGAAAAACATTAAAATATTTGCCCTTCTCTTCCCAGTTCTTCCCAAAGTTGAGAAAAGCTGGGTTGAGAGGATGAAAAAAAAAAAAATTAGTGGAGTTAAACAGTAGTAAAGAAGTATCCATATGCAGCAGAGAGAAGCAAAGAGGAAAGAAATAGGAAAGGGAAGTAAAAGAGTAACATTTGTACAATCATACTGCCAGTAGGAAAGAAAAGAGAAAATAGGTCAGAGGCTAACTCTAAATAGTTTTGTTTTTTTTTTTATTGAGACAGAGTCTCGCTCTGTTGCCCAGGCTGGAGTGCAGTGGCACGATCTCAGCTCACTGCAACCTCCACCTCCCAGGTTCAAGCGATCCTCTTGCCTCAGCACCCCTAGTAGCTGGGATTACAGGCACGTGCCACCATACCCGGCTAATTTTTGTATTTTTTAGTAGAGATGGGGTTTTGCCATGTTGGCCAGGCTGGTCTTGAACTGACCTCAGGTGATCCACCAACCTCAGCCTCCCAAACTGCTAGGATTACAGGCGTGAGCCACCGCACCCGGCCTCTAAATAGTTAATGGGTGAGAATTTTTTACAATTCATGAAAGATATTAATTCACAGTTAATCAACAATCCCTTGGCCAGGTGTGGTGGCTCATGCCTGTAATCCCAGCATTTTGGGAGGCAAAAGTGGGCAGATCACTTGAGGCCAGGAATTTGAGACCAGCCTGACCAACATGTTGAAACCTCATGTCTACTAAAAATATAAAAATTAGCCGGGCGTGGCGGTACATGCTTGTAATCCCAGCTACTTGGGAGGCTGAGGCATGAGAATTGCTTGAACCCAGGAGGCGGAGGTTGCAGTGAGCCAAGATCGCCCCACTGCACTCCAGCCTGGGTGACAGAGTGAGACTCTGTCTCAAAAAGAAAAGGAAAAGAAACCAACAATCTGTTGGTCATGTATAGAAACTGCTCCCAATACTTTTTTTTTCCAGTACATACGGGACACTGAAAATTTTTTATTTTATTTTTATTTGGGTGTTTAGTTTGTTTATATTTATCACAGTTATTGATATATTTGGAATGTCTTTCAGAAATGAGGGCTAAATGCATTTGTCAAACAAAAACAGTTGGCTACCAGCAGACTCTCGTTAAAAGACTCCTAAAGTTGCACCTCAGGCAGAAGAGAAGTGATTTTAAATTTAAGGCCTGAGATGCAAGAAGAAATGGTGGATGAATAAAGTAGTGAATATGCTGCTGGCTCACTCTCTTTCAGCAGCCTCCTCTGTCTCATTGTTCAGAGTGTAATGTCTTCTCTATAAACTCTCTGCTCTCTATTGCCCTTGAATAAGCTGTCTGCTATTAAGAAAAAAAAAAAAAAGTAGTGAATATATATGTTAATTCTAAGCACTAATAAAACAGTCATACCGTATGGGATTAATTAAAATATATGACAGTAGGATATGTCCAAGTGGATTATTTATTTAGTTAGTTAGTCAGTTTTTGAGACAGCTTCCGCTCTTTTTGCCCAGGCCAGAGTGCAGTGGTGTGATCTTGGCTCACCACAACCTCTGCCTCTCGGGTTCAAGCAAATCTGCCTCAGCCTCCCAAGTAGCTGGGATTACAGGCACACGCCACCACGCCTGGCTAATTTTTTATTTTTAGTAGAGACGGGGTTTCACCATGTTGGCCAGGTTAATCATGAACTCCTGACCTCCAGTAATCCACCCACCTCCCCCTCCCAAAGTGCTGGGATTACAGGCGTGAGCCACTGCGCCTGGCCGGATTTTTGTAAATATCAAGTGATAACACTATTTACTAGAAGTACATATAAAGCAAGAATACAGAAAGGTTGAAAGTAGGCTGGGCGCGGTGGCTCAAGCCTGTAATCCCAGCACTTTGGGAGGCCGAGACGGGCGGATCACGAGGTCAGGAGATCGAGACCATCCTGGCTGACACAGTGAAACCCCGTCTCTACTAAAAAATACAAAAAAACTAGCCGGGCGAGGTGGCGGGCGCCTGTAGTCCCAGCTACTCGGGAGGCTGAGGCAGGAGAATGGCGTGAACCCGGGAGGCGGAGCTTGCAGTGAGCCAAGATCACGCCACTGCACTCCAGCCTGGGCGGCAGAGCGAGACTCTGTCTCAAAAAAAAAAAAAAAAAAAAAAAAGTTGAAAGTAAAAAGGAAAAAATATACCAGACAAATGTTTAAAGAAAGCTGGTATAGCTATATTAATATCAGGAAAAAAACAGTCTGAAAAGACATTAGAGACTTAAAAAAATTCTATTTATCAGAACAATACAAAGTTGTATGTACCTAATAACATGGACTCAAAATATACAAGGCAAAAGCTGATAGAAATACAAATCTACTATTATGACGAAATATTTTAACGTAATAATTGATGAACTCAGCAAACAGAAGCTTTGCTATACCTAATTATCTTGACCTAATGGAAATTTTTAGATCATTACACAGTGATCTAAATAGCTGCAAATACATTTATTTCAAGCACATACATTTATAAATCAATCATAAACTTAGCCATAAAGCACATCTAAACACATTTCAATGGAATGTAGAACATGTTTCCTAACTACATTGCAATTAAGTTAGAGACCAGTAACTGAATGCTAACCAGAAAAACTCCATATGTTCAGAACTTTTGAAACCCTTTTAACTTACTCATAGGCTAATGAAAAAAATATTCAGGCCAGGCACAGTGGCTCATGCCTGTAATCCCAGTACTTTGGGAGGCTGAGGCAGGCAGATCACCTGAAGTCAGGAGTTCAAGACCAGCCTGGCCAACATGGTGAAACTTTGTCTCTACTAAAAAATACAAAATTACCCGGGCGTGGTGGCGCATGCCTGTAGTCCCAGCTACTTGGGAGGCTGAGGCAGGACAATCACTTCAACCTCGGAGGTGGAGGTTGCAGTGAGCCAAGATCGTGCCACTGCACTCCAGCCAGGGCAACAGAATGAGACTCCATCTCCAAAAAAAAAAAGAATGAAAATCAGTGAAGTAAGGTTATAATCTTAAGATACGAGAAAAGGAACAAGTGGTTTTTTTTTTTTTTCTATCTGTTTTGTTGTTGTTGTTGTTGTTTGAGACAGAGTCTTGCCCAGGCTGGAGTGCGGCACATGGCTCACTACCGCCTTGACCTGGGCTCAAGTGATCCTCCCACTGCAGCCTCCCATGTAGCTGGGACCACTGGCTCACACCACCATGCGTAGCTAATGTTTTCATTTGTAGAGACAGGGTCTCACCATGTTGTCCAGGCTGGCCTTGAACTCCTGGGTTCAAGCTATCCTCCTGGTCAGCCCCACAAAGTGTTGGGATTACAGGTGTGAGCCACCATGCCTGGCCTACATGAAACATATGCTTATTTGGTTTTGATTTTTACACTTTTATGATGCCAAGATGAACCCCCATTACCCTCCAAAAAGGAACATCCTACTAGCTTCACATTACAACTGGAATATTAACACAATGTAAATAGAGAAAACGGAGGTGGGGTGATTAGGAGATTTAATAAGAATAAATCTTAAAGGGAAATAGAATGAAATGTATAAGGTAAAGGCAGAAGGTAATAGAAATAGTATAATTAGTATAATAGGATCCATAAAGTCAAACACAGATTCATTTTTTAAAAAAGAATACATTTCTGTCCAGATTTATTTTTTTAAAAAGCTGGGTGCAGTTGCTCACATCTGTAATCGCTGTGACTTGGGAGGGAAATGGGAGGATCGCCTAACTAAGCCCAGGAGTTGGAGGCTGCGTGAGCTATGATCATGCCACTATACTCCATCCTGAGTGACAGAGCAAGACCCCATAGCTGAAGAAATATAAACTATTCATGTTGTAAAAATTAAGATATTTATTTTTCAAGAAGCTATTATGAATAATTTCATGGCAACAAATTTCAAAATTTCATGGACAAATTACTCAAAACTATGTTATCAAAATAATTTTAAAGGAAAAATGGAATAATCATTAAAGAAATTTGATTGATATTTTAAAATCTTCCCAGAACACAAACACTAAACCCAGAGAGGTTTTCAGAAACGTTCTACTGAACATTCAGGAAAAAAATAATTCCAATTTTATGTAAATTATTCCAGAACATAGAAAAAGAGGAAGCAATCCCCAATTAATCTCAATCATGAAGACAAAATTTGAAAAATCCAAAGCAAGATAGTAAAGCAAATTCAGCAATAACTAGAAATCATTATCAAGCTGAGTTTGTTCCAGAATGTCAGGGTGGTTTAACAATGGAGGAAAAAGATCACATCTGAAAAGATGCAGGAAAAAAGGTTTGGTAAACCTTGGCAGCCATTTGTAATTTTTTTAAAAATAAATTTTGGAAAGCTTGGAGTAGAGAACTCTTTTAACTTAATAAGTGATATTTACAAAAAGCCTACAGCACGTATCTTATTTTATGCTGAATTACTAAATGATTTCCTTTAAGATTATAAACAAGAGCGGGATAATCACTATCATGATTTCAACATTGTGCTGGGGGCCTAGTGTATGCAGAATAGCAGGAAAAAAAGTGATTAGGATTGGAAATCCACCCTATAGTAATGCCAAGTAAATCACAACCTCTCTTTGAGTGTGGATGAGACCTGAGACTTGCTTCCAACGACAGAATATGGCTAAGGTGATGGGGATAGTCACTGCTTTGGTTCATGTTATATGGCAAAAGTAATGGAATAATTACTCTTGGGATTATGTGATGTTACAGAAGATCCTTGTTAGCGGCCCAGAGTGCACTATCATGTTGTAAGAAGGCCTGTGAATGAGCCACCTGGCAAGAAACCTTGGGGACCACTAGGAGCTGATGGAAACCCCCAGCTGACAGCCAGAACAAGACAGGGACTCCATCCTACAGCCTCAGCTGAATCCTGCCAACAACCATCTGAACTTAGAAGAGGACACTAAGTTTTAAAAAGGACCACAGACTGGCTGTCACCTTGATTACAGCCTTGTGAGACCCTGAGCAGGAGACCAACAGAAACTATGAGATAGTAAGTACATGTTTTAAGCCACTAAGTGTGAGGTAATTCATTATGCACCAGTAGATAGCTAATAAAGGAAGAGACAAACCTGATTAGAGACTAGATTACATAGAAAACAAAAGAATATCTATGACTGACTCATAAGAATTAACCATTTATTTGGCACTTCTACAGTTGCATTTCTATATGCCAGCAACAAACAGGTAAAAATACAATTTAGAAAAAGTTAACATTTACAGTAGCATCAAAAATATAAATAAATAAAATCTTAATAAAATATATGCAAGAACAGGCTGGGTGCAGTGGCTCACACCTGTAATCCCAGCACTTTGGGAGGCCGAGGTGGGCGGATCATCAGGGCAAGAGATTGAGACCATCCTGGCCAACATGGTGAAACCCTGTCTCTACTAAAATACAAAAAATTAGCCAGGGATGGTGGCATGTGCCTGTAGTCCCAGCTACTCGGAAGGCTGAGGCAGGGGAATCGCTTGAACCCAGGAGACAGAGGTTGCAGTGAGCCAAGATGGCGCCACTGCACTCCAGCCTGGCGACAGAGCAAGACTCTGTCTAAAAAAAAAGATATATGTGTGTGTGTGTGTGTGTGTATGTATATGTATATATATGTGTGTGTATATATATGTGTGTATATATATACACACAAGAACATTGTGAAGAAGTTTTAAAACTTTAATGAAACATAGGTTAGTAATAAAAATAATGAGATTAGGCTGGGCATGGTGGCTCATGCCTGTAATCCCAGCACTTTGGGAAGCCAAGGCCAGCAGATCACCTGAGGTCAGGAGTTAAAGACCAGACTGGTTAACATGGCAAAACCCCATCTCTACTAAAAATACAAAAGTTAGTTGGGTGTAGTGGCACACGCCTGTAGTCCCAGCTACTTGAGAGGCTGAGGTGGGAGGATCACATGAACCTGGGAGGTTGAGGTTGCAGTGAGCTGAGATTATGCCACTGCGTTGCAGCCTGGGTGACAGGAAGACTCTATCTCAAAAGAGATTTAATTGGGTAGATAAGTTCTAGAGTACAGGCTCAATATCATGAAGATATTACTTCTTTCCATATTAATCTCTAGATTTAATGCAGTTCCATACAAAATTTCACAGGATGTTTTTTTCTTTTTTGAGATGGCGTTTTGCTCTTGTTGCCCAGGCTGGAGTGCAGTAGCACGAGCTCGTCTCACTGCAACCTACGCCTCCTGAGTTGAAGTGATTCTCCTGCCTCAGCCTCCCAAGTAGCTGGGATTACAGACACATGCTACCATGCCTGGCTAATTTTGTACTTTTAGTAGAGGCAGGGTTTCACCATGTTGGTCAGGCTGGTCTTGAACTCCTGATCTCAGGTGATCCATCCACCTTGGCTTCCCAAAGTCCTGGGATTACAAGCGTGAGCCACCATACCCAGCCCCAATAGGATTTGTCATGGAACTTCATAAATGTATTATAAAATCATCATAGGGAGAAGCAAAGAACCAAGAAGAGCCAAAATACTCTTGAAAAAAGAAGACAAGGTGAGGGAGTTACCCTAACTTGTAAGCTATCAAGACTTATTATAAAGCTATAATAATTAGACACAATACACACAGATAGTTAAATGGACTGATGGAACAGAATAGAGAACACAGAAATAGAACATTAGTATATGGAAATTTGACGTGACAAAATCAGTCCTATGGTTTTGTATTAGTCCCTTTTCATATTGCTATGAAGAAATATCCAAGACTGGGTAATTTATAAAGAAAAAGAGGTTTAATGGACTCACAGTTCCACATGGCTGGGGAGGCCTCACAATCATGGTGGAAGGCGAAGGAGAAGCAAAGGCACATCTTACATGGTAGCAGGCAAGAGAGCATGCGTAGGGAACTGCCCTTTATAAAACCATCAGATCTCGTAAGTCTTATTCACTATCACAAGAATAGCATGGGAAAATCCCACCCCCTTGATTCAGTTACCTTCCACTGGGTCCCTCACATGACATGTGGAGATAATGGGAGCTACAATTCAAGGTGAGATTTAGATGGGGACACAGCCAGACCATATCAGGTTTGAATATGCCCTCCAAAACTCATGTTGACCCTTCATCCCCAATGTGGCAGCACTGAGAGGTGGGGCCTTTAAGAGTTGATAGAATCATGAGGGCTCTGCCCTCAATGGATTAATCCACTCATGGATTAATGGATTAATGGGCTATCATGGGAGGGCACCAGTGGCTTTATAAGAGGGAGAATCTTTAGCATAGCATGTGAGCATGCTCAGCTACTTCAGAACTTTGTAGAGAGTCCCCACCAGCAAGAAGGCTCTCACCAGACATGGCTCCTTGACCTTGACATCTCAGCTTCCATAACTAAGAAATAAATTCCTTTTCTTTATAAATTACCCAGTTTCAGGTATTCTGTTACAAGCAACAGAAAATGGACTAAGATAGTTGGCATTGTAGATCAATGGGAAAAGGGTGGCTATTCAATAAATGGTGCAAAGACAATTGGTTATCCACATGGAGGGGGAAAATGGATTCTCTGCTTCATACCATACATACAAAAAAATCCAGTTCTTTGGATTTATGATTTAAATGAGAAAATTTAAAATGGTTGAAGCAGGCTGGGTGCAGTGGCTCACACCTGTAATCCCAGCACTTTGGGAGGCCGAGGTGGGTGGATCATTTGAGGTCAGGAGTTCAAGACCAGCCTAGCCAACATGGTGAAACCCTGTCTCTACTAAAAATACAAAAAATTAGCCAGGCATGGTGCCGTGCATCTGTAATCCCGGTTATTCAGGAGGCTGAGGCAGGAGAATCACTTGAACCTGGGAGGTGGAGGTTGCAGTGAGCCAAGATCACACCACTACACTCCAGCCTGGGCAACAGAGGGAGAATGAATCTCAAAAAAAGTACCATTTATAAATCTATGGATGGATCTTTTCTGAAGGTCCTTTGCCTGGAGAAAAAAATAGTGCATTAAAAGGCTTTGGTCCAAAACAAACAAACTCCTAAAAATCAAGTAGAAGGGCTGGGCGTGGTGGCTCACGCCTGTAATCCCAGCACTTTGGGAGGCTGAGGTGACAAGAGCAAAACTCAGTCTCAAGAAACAAACAAAAAAAGAAAGTAGAAGACAAACAACCCAAAAACATAGTGGGCAAATTCCATAGCATTTCATACATTTCATAGAAGAAAAACTATCAGTGGCTAATAAAGATATAAAAGAATGCTCAGGGAAATGCAAATTAAAACCATATTGAAACCATTTGTATACCCCTTAGATGGTCAAAAAATTAAGTTAGGTGATACCACTTTTACACTGTTGGTGGCAGTGTAAATTGGCAACCCCTTTTTGGAATTACACAGTTACATTTATAGTATATGTTCTATATAATATATAATTATATAACATTTATTTCATATTCATATCAAACAAGTATATGAATATATATAATTATGTGTATTATTATATATTTATATCTATATATATATGTAATTACATAATTTATGAACAATCAATCCTGTTCCTAGAGAACATACCCCAAAAAAAAAACCTCTTGCAGATAATGGCTGGGAAGCAAGTACAGAAATGATCAGAACAGTACAAATCAAGGGAGAATGTGCCCAAGACCTGGAGAACTGATAATAGTTTGTTGTTTATCCATGCAATGGAACACTATATGGAAGTGAAAATGATTGAAATAGAGCTATACACATCATCATACATGAATTTCAGAAACAATGCTGAGTGAAAAAGTAAGTTGCAGCAGAATGCATGCAATATAGTAGTATTTTATAAAATTCAAAAGCCAAATTATGAATATACTTTCTTAGCTATAAATGTGATAAAACTATAAAGAAAAGCACAGGAATGATCAATATGGTGATTGAGGAGGGACACACAGGAGCTTCAATAGTACTATGATTCTGTTTCTCAAGTTGAATGACAGTTTTGCAGGTGGTCATTTCATCATGCTTTTATGTTATTATATGATGAATATAATTATACTACAATATATGTTATGCATATTATACATTATACATATTTTGTATGTAACAGTGTTTCATAATATTTTAAGGAATGAATGGAAATGGGCACATAATGAAGATACGTAGTGCTTAGCCATCAGTAGAGTCTCAGAATTATCAGATTCCAAGATAACTCCTATACAAAAACAAGCAAAGGGCATGTTATCTAGAATGAAAAGACCATCCATATTCTAATAAACTGAGACAATCAAATAGGGAATCCCTCTTTTAAGAATAGCATTTGTTATATGCTTGGAAGTGTTTTGAATCAGAAATTAGTTGTGAATAAATCTTCTCCTTTTTTTTTTTTTTTTTTTTTGAGACGGAGTCTCGCTCTGTCTCCCAGGCTGGAGTGCAGTGGCCGGATCTCAGCTCACTGCAAGCTCCGCCTCCCGGGTTTATGCCATTCTCCTGCCTCAGCCTCCCGAGTAGCTGGGACTACAGGCGCCCGCCACCTCGCCCGGCTAGTTTTTTGTATATTTTTAGTGGAGACGGGGTTTCACCGTGTTAGCCAGGATGGTCTCGATCTCCTGACTTCGTGATCCGCCCGTCTCGGCCTCCCAAAGTGCTGGGATTACAGGCTTGAGCCACTGCGCCCGGCCTATCTTCTCCTTATTAATAAAATATAAGCTTGTTTTTAATGTCATATTATCCCTGCTGAGAAATTAAAAATCCTGGAGGTAGGCCAGCCGCGGTGGCTCATGCCTGTAATCCCAGCACTTTGGGAGGCCAAGGCAGGCAGATCACTTGAGGCCAGGAGTTCGAGACCAGCCTGGCCAACATAGTGAAACTCTGTCTCTAGTAAAAATACGAAAATTAGCTGGGCATGAGGGCAGGCATCTGTAGTCCCAGCTACTCGAGAGGGTGAGGCAGGAGAATCACTTGAACTCGGTAGGTGGAGGTTGCAGTGAGCTGAGATCACACCATTGCACTCCAACCTGGGCAACAGAGTGAGAAAGAAATAAATAAAAATTAAAATCCTGGAGGTAGTATTACTTGTAACCTCAATCACTTATTAATCAATCTAAATTTAATCCTTGATTTTATAATATCTTTCTGTAGAATTTTGTTTTGGTTTTGCTTTATTTTTAGAAAAGACAGGTGCATTTACCCTGTTAGGGGATGGTCATTGGTATTTTAAAAGATACGACATTTGCTGAGAATTCCTTAAATTTTTCTAATTTTCACTAGCCAATGATGACATTGTCCCTTTTTTGCAGATAGCTTTGAAAGATGATGATACCGCCACAGTTGGGACTATGTTGTTAAAAACATCCTTTGTTTGACCATTTACACATTTGGTTCTAAAGAATGCATTGGCCTTAGATTCTTGGTTCTAAAGAATGTATTATCTTTTTTTTTTTGCAAGAAGGAGTCTCACTCTGTGGCCCACACTGGAGTATAGTCTGCAATCTCAGCTCACTGCAACCTCTGCCTCCTGAGTTCCGGCGATTCTCCTGCCTCAGCCTCTCAAGTAGCTGGGATTACAGGCACCTGCCACCACGCCCGGCTAATTTCTATATTTTTTGTACAGACAGGGTTTCACCATGTTGGCCAGGCTGGTCTCGAACTCCTGACCTCAAGTGATAACGCCCGTCTTGGCCTCCCAAAGTCCTGAGATTGCAGGCATCAGCCACAGTGCCTGGCAAGAATGTATTATCTTAAGATTCTTGTCTCATTACTATTCTTAAAATTGCTGTAAAACTTGCTTAAGTAATCAGGTTTAAATTATGTAAATACAGACAACAAATCTCTCTTAATCCTAAAGGTGCTTTTAAAATTCATGCATTTATACATGTATGCAAATTGGCTACAAATTGAACAGACTTTATTCTAAGTGACCAAATCTTAAGGAGCTTTAGAAGATACCTTAATTCAAGGACTAAGCAGTTTCTGAAAACAGACTGATTTACTGTGCTTCTTAGTATTTCCTCAAACTAGAATATGAGCGATGGTGGCAGAGGAAGGAAGTAGCTCATACTTGGAAGAACAAACAGTTGCTAGAATATGCTTGTGGTTTAGAGCTTCTTTCAAAAATCCTGTTAGCTGCAAAAGAAAGGAAGGACTAATATTTTCCACGATTTCAGTAACATCTTTATGAAGATGCTCCTTTTGAATGTAGTACAGAAAGTTAGAAAACACTTAGGCATGGTATCTGACATAGTGCCCCTTAGGGAGCGTTTCATATACAGACAATCGGGGGCTTATGATGCTTTGACTTAAAAGTTTTCAACATTATAATAGTTCCAAAGGTGATGCACATTCAGTAGAAACCATACTTCAGGCCGGGCGCGGTGGCTCAAGCCTGTAATCCCAGCACTTTGAGAGGCCGAGACGGGTGGATCACGAGGTCAGGAGATCGAGACCAACCTGGTGAACATGGTGAAACCCCGTCTCTACTAAAAAAATACAAAAAAAAAACTAGCCGGGCGAGGTGGCGGCGCCTGTAGTCCCAGCTACTCGGGAGGCTGAGGCAGGAGAATGGCGTGAACCCGGGAGGCGGAGCTTGCAGTGAGCTGAGATCCGGCCACTGCAACTCCAGCCCGGGAGACAGAGCGAGACTCCGTCTCAAAAAAAAAAAAAAAAAAAAAAAAAAAACAACCGTACTTCAAGTCTCCGTACAACTATTCTGTTTTTCATGTTCAGAATGTTGTTCCCATAAATTACATGAGCTATTCAACACTTTCTAATAAAACAGGATTTGTATTAGATGACTTTGCCCAACTGTAGGCTGATGTAAGTGTTCTGAGTGTGTTTAAGGTAGGCTAGGCTAAGCTCTGATGTAGGTTAGGTGTATTAAAAGGACTTAGGATGTTTGCCCTTCCCAATAAACGCATCGTAAGTCAGGAAGCACCTGTATCTGATAGAGGTCTACCTTTACCAATTTAAACTGTGACAAATTTAATGTTCCTGTCTTGCTTTTAAATTGGAGAGCAACAGCAGATCCCAGATAAATACCGAAGTTAGCTTTGTGTTCTTCACTATTTATTGAACAGTTCAGAGGGCAAGGAAGCAAAGAGAAACGCTCTGAGTGTGTCTTTGCTTGCTAGCTCCTGAATTCTTAACAATTCTACACCACTCCGAAGCAGGGAAGTGGGGCAAGATGGTTTACGTCTCAAACGGACAAGTGTTGGACAGCCAGAGTCAGTTTCCATGGAGATTATCTTTGATAACAGATTTCTTCTGGGGAATAGCCAAGTTTGAGGTTTTGTTTTTCAAAACTCTGCTTCAGCAAGATGTGAAAAAAAGAAGCTATGGAAACTCATCTGATTCCAGATACAATGATGGAAGAGGGCCGCCGGGAAACCCTCCTCAAAGAATGGGTAGAATCAATCATCTGCATGGCCCCAGTCCTCCTCCAGTGGCTGGTGGATGAGGAAGGTAAATGTCCACTCTAAGAAGCAGACAACTGGACATGCGCATTCATAGCGAAGGAAACCATCAAGAAGTGGAAGGCTGGCCATGTTGGAGCAGTAGATGAATGTCTATGTCTAAACAAGGACTGCTCTGTGTCCTCACAGATGAACTAGGTCCTGCTAGGAATTCCCTCTGCAGGGAACTGGCCTGATTGACTTGCAGTTCCATAAATGCACATGTTTGCCTCATTACGTTTTTTGTATAGTTTATCTTAAAGTATTAATATAGTTTTAATAAGTAAATATTCTTAGGTTGCAAAAAAAAAAAAAAAGAATTCTGGCCGGGAGCAGTGACTCACGCCTGTAATCCCAGCATTTTGGGAGCCCAAGACAGGCAAATTATGAGGTCAGGAGATTGAGACCATCCTGGCCAACATGGTGAAACCCTCTCTCTACTAAAAATACAAAAAATACAAAAATTAGCTGGGCGTGGTGGTGTACACCTGTAGTCTCAGCTACTCGAGAGGCTGAGGAGAATCTCTCAAACCTGGGAGGCATAGGTTGCAGTGAGCTGAGATTGCGCCACTGCACTCCAGCCTGGTGACAGAGCAAGACTCTGGCTCAGAAAAAAAAAAAAAAAAAACAGATAAAAACCATTCTACAGTGGCCTTCCTGTATTTTTTATCTGCTTTTTTTCTGTTCTCTGCTTTGGAGTCAGAAACTTCAGTTCAAATCCCTGCCATGTCAACATAACAATCTTTCAGCCTGTTTCCTCCTTCGTAAATGATGGGTATAATTTCCATCCCACAGGATTTGTGTTAGAATTGAGTGAGGTAATGTATTAATACATACTACGTGCTTCAAAAATACTATCCGTCTCTTTCCACATGGTTGTCAGAACTCCAGTGCCATGATGGATACAGAGTGAATCATTTTCTTCACTGTCCACTATCAATTTGAGAATGGCAGGTTGCTGCTTTTACATTTTCAGATCTAGTTAACATTACCTTCCATCAGTGAAATAGAATACTTAATCTTTATTATGTATTTCCCTCATTTTCCTATATCTTTTAAGTCATTTTATCACTATTTTAAAAATCAGTTTTGTGAACTCTTGCTTTTGCATGGAGGAAAATGGGATTGATCAAACATTGAAATGGGATGATTAGTTCTCTAATTTCTCTGTATTCAGTCCTACACCTAATAGCTTCAAGCTCTCTCCTAGGAAGACAGGACTCTGGGTATATCTAAATGAGTAGACATCCTTAATGAGTTTTCTCTGTTGTATGCTGTAATATCTTTTTGAGTGTTCCAGAGAACTGAATAAAAGTAGATCTCTCCATATTAACTATATGATAATGGTTAACACCTGTGTGGTACTTTGCTTATGAAGTGTTTTCACATGTATCACTCATTCATTAATTTGTTAAGCATTTACTGAGCTCTGTTACATGCTTTGCCTTTACTAGACACCAGAGTATAGTATACTGAAGTACTCCTTGACCTTGAGGTGTCATAAAAAATGTGACTTCCCAAGAAACCTTCTCCTGCTTTGTTAAGTCACTCCGCCCTTCTTATTGTCTAATACCACACTCTGTCTCCTTTATGATATTTTCTTTTTCTTTTTTTTTTTTTTTTTTTGAGACGGAGTCTTGCTCTGTCACCCAGGCTGGAGTACAGTGGCCGGATCTCAGCTCACTGCAAGCTCCGCCTCCCGGGTTTACGCCGTTCTCCTGCCTCAGCCTCCCGAGTAGCTGGGACTACAGGCGCCCGCCACCTCGCCCGGCTAGTTTTTTTGTATTTTTTTAGTAGAGACGGGGTTTCACCGTGTTAGCCGGGATCGTCTCTCGATCTCCTGGCCTCGTGATCCGCCCGTCTCGGCCTCCCAAAGTTCCTTTATGATATTTTCTGTGCTGATCTCCTTAAGGGTAGGGGTTATGTCAGTTTCTGTCCTTTCTTGAGGTCCTGAATGTAAGACCTAGCTATTGCTAGGCCCAAAATAGGAACTCAATGAAACCAGTTGAGTGATTGGAAGAATGGATGAAGGCAACATGCTCATAGGGAAGAGACGGGCCAAGATTCATTGCTATACAGTGTGATGGGTGCCAAGGCAGAGAGGTGGGTTGAGGGCATTGTGTTAGTCTGTTTTAAGCTGTTATGCCAGAATACCAGAGACTGGGTAATTTATAAAGAACAGGAATTTGTTTCCTCACAGGTCTGGAAGTCAGAAAGTCCAAGATGAAGGCACTGGCAGGTTCAGTTACCTGGTGAGGGTCTGGTCTTTTTACTTCCAAGATGGCGGCTTGACTGTTGCATCTTGAGGAGTGGGGGAAGAATGCTGTGTGCTCATATACTAGAAGGCAGAAGGACAAAAGGGGATGAACTCCCTCTTTCAAGCCCTTTTATAAGGACATCTAATCCCATTCACAAGATAGGAGCCCTTGTGGCCCGATCACCTTTTAAAGGCCCCACCTCTTAATACCATAAATCACTTTAGCAATACCTAAATTTTGGAGGAGACACACTCAAACAATAGCAGGTATAAAAGACAAGCGTTTAATCAGACTATATGTCAGTTGATAATTTTTCCTTCCCTGCAGGAGACCTGTCTGTGAGTGGCTGGGAGACCTGTTTAATTCTGGGGTATAGAATTAAGATGGCCGTCTGCCTGTAAGTAGAAATAAACTGCATTCTCCCAAATCAGCTTTGTTCATAATAAAAGTAATATTCTGGCCTCCTTATACCATACTCTCTCTCTCTCTCTCTCTCTCTCTCTCTCTCTCTGTCTGTCTCTCTCTCTCTCTCTCCTCTCTCCTTTTCTTTTCTTTTCTTTTTTTTTTTCCGAGACAGAGTCTTGTCTGTGGCTCCAGGCTGGAGTGCAATGGCATGATCTCGGCTCACTGCAATATCTGCCTCCTGGTTTCCAGTGATTCTCCTACCTCAACCTCCCAAGTAGCTGGGATTACAGGCATGTGCGACCATGCCCAGCTAATTTCTGTATTTTTAGTAGAGGCAGGGTCTCACTGTGTTGGCCAGGCTGGTCTCCAACTCCTGACCTCAGGTGATCCGCCTGCCTTGGCATCCCAAAGTGCTGGGATTACAGGTGTGAGCCACCACGCCCAGCCTATTAGCTATTTCTTAAACAGTTCACAACTTGGTTCAAGAAGAGGTAGGCTATCTATTGCCCCACCCTCTACTTTTTTTTGGTTTTATTTTGAGACGGAGTCTCACTCTAGCCCAGGCTGGAGTGAAGTGGCGCTATTTTGGCTCACCACAACCTCCGCCTCCTGGGTTCAAGTGATTCTCCTGCCTCAGCCTCTGGAGTAACTGGGATTACAGGCATCTGCCACCATGCCTGGCTAATTTTTTGTATTTTTAATAGAGATGGGGTCTCACCATGTTGGCCAGGCTGGTCTTGAACTACTGACCTCAGGTGATCCACCCGCCTCAGCCTCCCAAAGTGCTGAGATTACAATCATGAGCCACTGTGCCCGGCCGACTTTTTTTTTTTTAACTGAATACCTAATTGTTAGGTTATTCTTTTGTCTGTTATTGCTCTCCTTAACACATATAAAATAGACCAAACTGACATGATCATATTTTAGAAAAATACATTTTTTTTGGAAAAGGAAATGGAAAAAAAAGATAAATAGCTTAATTTAAGAAAAAAAATTTAAAATGGCTTAAATTGTCCACTTATGATAGCATAGAATTAGAAATCCCAGTCTTTGTGGCTGCCCAAAATAATAATAATAATAATAAATGGCCAAAAAATGAAAAAAGTCTTTCATGACTCTCTTCCTAATATTATCAGTATGAGGAAACTTAATAGTTCCGAAAATAAAGATGTAAATTGCTGCAGAACGTACAATAGGATAAAGTCATACTAGCCAAAATGTGGAAACAACCCAAATGTCATCCATGGATGAATGGATCAACAAAATGAGATATATTTACAATGGACTATGATTCAGCCTTAAAAAGAAGTGCAATTCTTGGCTGGGCATAGTGGCTCACGCCTGTAATCCCAACACTTTGGGAGGCCGAGGTGGGCGGATTATGAGGTCAGTAGTTCAAGACCAGCCTGGCCAATATGGTGGAACCCTGCCTCTACTAAAAATACAAAACTTGGCTGGGCATGGTGGTGCACACCTGTAGTCCCAGCTGCTGGGGAGGCTGAGGCAGGGGAGTTGCTTAACACCTGGGAGGCAGAGCTTGCAGTGAGCCAAGATCGTGCTACTATATTCCAGCCTGGCGACAGAGTGAGACTCCCATCTCAAAAAAAAAAAAAGAAAAAAAAAAGAAGTGCAATTCTTATATATGCTACAACAAAGATGAACCTTGAGGAAGGACATTATACTAAGTGAAATAAGCCAGTCACAGAAGGACAAATATGATTCCACTTATGTGAGGAACCTAGAATAGGCAAATTCATAGAGACAGAAAGTAGTTTCCAGGGGCTGGGGGTAGCGGGAAATAGAGAGTTAATGTTTAATGGGTATAGACTTTCTGTTGGGATGATTTTTTTAAAGTTCAGGGGATGGATAGTGGTGATGGCTACATAACAATGTGAATGTACTTCACACCACTGAATTGCACACTTAAACATGGTTAGGATGGTACATTTTTGTGTATTTTACCATAAGAAAAAAAATTTAGGGCTGGGCAAGGTGGCTCACACCTGTAATCCCAACACATTGGAAGACCAAGGTGGAAGGATCATTTGAGCCCAGGAGTTTGAGACCAACCTGGGCAATATAGTGAGACCCCACCTCTACAGATTTTTTAAAAATTACCCAGCGGTGTGTGCCTGTGGTCCCAGCTACTCAGGAGGCTGAGGTGGGAGGATTGCTTTAGCCTGGGAGTTCAAGGCTGCAGTGAGCTGTGATTATGCCACTGCACTCCAGCCTGGACAACAGAGAAAGAGCCTATCTTGAAAAAAAAGAAAATTAGTATGATAAAGCACAGACCATGTATATAATAAAGATACTTCAACCATTTGAAGGAGTGTTTTGTTCTCAAGCCACATAGAGAACTACATATTATCCCAGAAAAAAAGCACAGGATCCAGGAAAGCTGGAAGGACCGGCGTTTGGTGGCTGAGGTCAGCAAAGGTGACTGCTCTGTTCATGGCATCCCATGGGTACTTATCATCATCTTCATAATCACCACCGGCAGGGTCTTTCTCAACAGACTGACCTTGTGCTGTGAATATCACATATATTATCACTGAATTTTTGAAACACCTTATAAAGTAGACATTATTCCCATTTATAAGAATTTAATACCTTTCTGAAATTTCCTAAGTAAGTGGTGCAGCCAGAACTTAAACCCTACATCATCAGACACCAAAAGTCAAGTACTTTCTTTAGCACATCCCAAGAATAGCTTTCAAGAAGAATTATATGGATAATCTGGAGTAAATGGAATAGGAACTTCTTCATTTAGGTCAGCGAGATATGCTGACAAGATGACCACAAATGCAGGAATGTTGGATGGTAATTAATATTTAGATGAGAAATCATTAAAGAGTGGAATCGCAATGCAAGTTTCTGGGGCTATTTCAGTAGGGCTGTTTGGAACTGATTGAGGGGACAAAAATTAAAGCCAGAAAGCTCAGTGGAGCAAATGTCATAGTGGCCACAGAGAAACAAAGATTTTCAAAATGAGATGCTAAGTGAAAAACAGCAACTGAGGAGAGAAGTAATGTTTCCAGCATCACAATGGGCATAAAGAGAATTGATCTTTTATACTCAAGGTGAGTTTGTAGTAATGCAAGGACTGGTGATTTAGGCCACTGATTTCTGGCTCTGAGTACATCTCTAATCCCTAAACCTTCACTAAGAGGGAGGTGAAGGGAGTCAGGTGTGCCACATGTCTGCTACTGAAAAATGCCTAGATGGGAAAGGAGTTTGAAATATTGTCCTAAAATGAAGTTTCTGAGTTAGATGAGCCGAATTTCACCATGTGTTCACTGTTATTACTGTGTATAAAATAAAGATTTAAATGAGATTAAGATCTTTGATTAGCTTTCTGAGATATTGAAAACTAAGAACCAGGGCCGAGTGTGGTGGCTCACACCTGTTATCTCAGCACTTTGGGAGGCCAAGGTGGGTGGATCACTTGAGGTAAGGAGTTCGAGACCAGCCTACCCAACATGGTGAAACCCCGTCTCTACTAAAAATACAAAAAATTGGCTGGGCTTGATAGCAGACGCCTGTAATCCCAGCTACTCAGGAGGCTGAAGCAGGAGAATTGCTTGAACCTGTGAGGTGGAGGTTGCAGTGAGCCAAGACTGTGCCACTGCACTCCAGCCTGGGCGACAGAGTGAGACTCCACCTCAAAAACAAAAAAGAAAAGAAAACTAAGAACCAATTACCTCTGCCGCATACATTGACTTTGGTTAACGTGCTGACATACTGAGCCCCAAACCGGCATATATAATCTCTGGTCACTTCTATACCAAAGCTGTTACCCTAACTTGACAGTGAAGGCCAAGAAGAGTCTGGAATTATGAAGCATGGAGCCTAGAATCTGAAAACTAAGAAAAATATCTTTTTCCCAAACACTTTCATTTTATAGGTGTGGAAAGTTGAGGCCCAGGGAGAGTATCTTGCCAGCAATTTTGTAGTTAATTCATGGCAGAACTGAGATGGGACCCCAGATCTCAGATCAGAGCCCTTCCATTTTATCATATTGCTCTTTACATAAACCAGTAGCTTAAGCAGGTAAGAATTATTCTCTGAATGAACAACAGTGAATTCAATTAACACGTAAGATAAAAGAAGAGGGTGGCTGGCAAGATGGCCGAATAGGAACAGTTCTGGTCTGCAGCTCCCAGCAAGATCAACGCAGAAGGCAGGTGATTTCAGCATTTCCAACTGAGGTACCTAGCTCATCTCATTCAGACTGGTTAGACAGTGGGTGCAGCCCATGGAGGGTGAGCAGAAGCAGGGTGGGGAGTCACCTCACCCGGAAAGTGCAAGGGGTCGGGGAACTCCCTCCCTTAGCCAAGGGAAGCCGTGACGGACTGTGCCATGAGCAATGGTGCACTCCGGGCTAGATACTATGCTTTTCCCATGGTCTTCACAACCTTCAGACCAGGAGATTCCCTTGGGTGTCTATACCACCAGGGCCCTGGGTTTCAAGCACAAAACTAGGTGGCCGTTTGGGCAGAAACTGAGCTAGCTGCAGGAGTTTTTGTTTGTTTTTTTTTTTTTTTTTCCCCATACCCCAGTGGCTCCTGGAATGCCAGTAAGAACTGTTCACTCTCTGGAAAGGGGGCTGAAGCCAGGGAGCCAAGTGGTCTAGCTCAGCAGATCCCACTCCCACAGATCCCAGCAAGCTAAGATCCACTGGCTTGAAATTCTTGCTGCCAGCACAGCAGTCTGAAGTTGACCTGGTATGCTCGAGCTTGGTGGGTGAAGGGGTGTCCACCATTACTGAGGCTTGAGTAGGCAGTTTTCCCCTCACAGTGTAAACAAACCCACTGGGAAGTTCAAACTGGGTGGAGCCCACTGCAGCACCATAAAGCCACTGTAGCCAGACCGCCTCTCCAGATTCCTCCTCTCTGGGCAGGGCATCTCTGAAAGAAAGGCAGCAGACCCAGTAAGGGGCTTACAGATAAAACTCCCATCTCCCTGGGACAGAACATCTGGGGGAAGGGGTGGCTGTGGGGACAGCTTCAGCAGACTTAAACGTTCCTGCCTGCCAGCTCTGAGGAGAGCAGCAGATCTCCTAG